CCCCACTGCGGCGGTGCACCGAGCAGGGAAGCTAAGGGCTCTCGTCCCCCAGAGGTGGAGTGCGCTACGGTGACCACGCGCATCGTGTCTCAGATCAAAACCAAGGGCGCCCTGGGTGTCAGCTTCATCTTCTTTGGCACTTCCTTCCTCTTTATCACGTCACACTTCACCTGTAAGTAGCTTGGGGCTGTGCCCTGGTGGACCACCCCTCCCTTCTGCCTCGCAAGGCCGGTGGGCGTCCTCAGCTCCGTTTCCAGGGCTGCAGGGCTGGCTCCACCCCTCATGCACGGGCACTGTGCTCCGCGAGCTGTGCTGAGGGTCCAGGAGCAGACCTGCTTCGGGCCCACGGCTGCCGCTGCGTGGGCCCATGCTGTGTCCTCTGGGGCAAAGTTGTCTCTGTGGGTTCCACAGCAGGTGCCCCAGAGGGCCATGGCTCTCTGCCTACATGCTCAGAGCACGCCAGACACACAGGCTCTGTGCGGGAGACTCGAGTGTCCAGAGACCTTCCCCTTCCTGCTTGTGTCCCCGCAGCTGGGGACGGGAAGGTGACAGAGCGGCTGCTGGACTACACCAGGACTGTGCAGGCCCTGGCGCTGCCCAGGAACGTGCCGGACACCAACCCCTACCGCTCCAGCCCAGGTGAGGGTTGGTGTCATGGCTAGCACATGGCCCGGCTCCCGTGGGGTTCCACGTGGGTCTCCCCCTCATTCCGCCGCTGGTTCAGGGAAGCAGTGTCCAGAGCCTTCGGGAGTCAAGGTCAGGAAAGTCCAGTCGCGCGTGTGCAAGCCCCTCCTGAGGTGTGGCTGCCTCTCAGTCCAGTAAGCGGCTGGGCAGACGTGCCCGCCAGGCTGACGAACCATCCAGCCGAGCCTGGCCCAAGTCCTTGCTGCTGCCTCCCCGCTCCCCCGCCCCCCCCCCGCCCCGTGAGAGCTGAGATGCACTGTGTGACCTTCGCTCACGTGAGGGTCAGGCCACTGTCTACTCCTGAGACCGCTCCAGGTGCTTCCTGGAACTGTCCGCATGCCAGTGCTGCCCCGTAGAGCCCAGTGGCCCGGCTACACCGCCTCTGCCCGCCAACCCCCGAGACTTGCCTCCTTGGGGCGCCACAGCCAGGCTGTGACTCGTTATCCCCCCCTGGCCCCAACCTGCTTCCCCACCGTGCCGCAGCCGACGTCACCACCCGCTTTGACGAGGTGTTCTGGTTTGGCGACTTCAACTTCCGCCTGAGCGGCGGGCGCGCAGCCGTGGACGCCCTCCTGCACCAGGGTCTGGCGGCAGATGTGCCGGCGCTGCTGCAGCGTGACCAGCTCCTCCGGGAGATGCAGAAAGGTGAGCGCCGGAGGAGGAGGGGTGGGGGTGAGCACCGCCGGGGGGAGCACGAGCCGCTCTGAGCACTCGGCCCTCGCAGGGTCTGTCTTCAAGGGCTTCCAGGAGGCCGACATCCACTTCCTCCCGTCCTACAAGTTCGACATCGGGAAGGACACCTATGACAGCACCTCCAAGCAGAGGACGCCCTCCTACACGGTGAGTACCCGCCGTCCACCTTCTGGCACAGACTGTCTCTGGCTGGACTTGAGACTCGATTCCGCACCCTGCCCTTTCGAGAACCCCTTCGGTGGAGAGCAGCGCCCGCTCCCCTGGTGTTCTGAAGTCTGGACGAGTCAGCCTGGATACTCAGAGGCCTTGGCACACAGCTTGCCTTCATGTGCCGTGGGCTGCCAGAGCCCTCTGCTGGGCACACTGGTCCCCTCACCTGCTCCCCCCAGGCCCATGGCACCAGCTCTATGCATGTCCTGTCTGTGGAAGCCTAGGGGAGAGACTGAGGCAAGGCTGGGGGAGCAGGCACTGTCCAGGGTTACTAGCGGCACGGGACAGCTACAGGCACCGGGCTATAAAAGGAGCCCGAGGCTTGGGGTCAGGGAGAGTGCTTTAGAACGGCATGGGAGGGGCAGGCAGACAGGCCACGCCCCCACATACACATAACTGCCACCCCCCACTTTCTGGAATCTTCCTGAAGGACCGGGTCTTGTACAGAAGCCGCCAAAAGGGTGACATCTGTCCAGTGAGGTACTCTTCCTGCCCTGGGATCAAGACATCCGACCACCGCCCCGTGTACGGCCTGTTCCGGGTGAAAGTACGGCCCGGGCGAGACAAGTCAGTGTTCTCTGTCATGTCTTTTTGGGCCCTGGAGGGGTCTTGGGGCCTGTTCCCAGGGGGTGGCACACATGGATGGTGTCCTGGGAGCCGAGGACCTGCTGAGGACCACGTGACCTGGCGTGATACCTGGGGCTTGCCTGGCACCCTAGGGGCTGTGCTGGACTTGCTCTGGAATAGGAAGCGGGCCAGCCTGAAGCCTTAGGAAGTGAGGCTGAGTCGAGCAGCAGCAGGCTGGGCGGCAGCAGCCTGGAGGGAGGGAGGCCTTGAGCGCTATGGCATCTCTCTCCCTGGCTCTGTCCCAGAACGGCTGTCCCCACCCCACTGAGGGAGCATAGCCCAGCGATGCCCACTGCCAGCACCTCTCACGGCCCTCTGCTCCTCCACAGCATTCCGCTGGCCGCTGGCAAGTTTGACCGAGAGCTGTACTTACTAGGAATTAAAAGGCGGATTTCAAAAGAAATTCAGAGACAGCAAGCACGGAAGACCCAGAGTTCCAGCACTGTCTGCACTGTTTCTTGAAGCCTGCTGGACAAGGACTCACCGATGCCACGCGGGAGGGCACTGACCGGGATCCTGAGAAGGCTGGGAGCTGCTGCCTGGTGGCCACTTGCCCTCTGGAGTCCCCACGAGCCGTGGCCGGGGCTGGCCGGGATGGCAGTGGGGCTGTGGTGACCTGCTCCACCGTGTCAGCATCCCGCAAGGAGCGAACCCATCCTGTGACTTGTCCCCACAGGCACAGGTAGACAGCATGGACCGCCACGCAGCCTCCAGCCACCCTCAGGGGCTAACATCTGAATCGGTTCGTCTCAAGCAGCTCCCACTCCCTGGAGGCTGCCGCGGGGCACCCCCTTCCCGCCCACGGGCTCTCCCTTGATGGCCTGGCTCAAGTCCTCGCGCCCAGAGCAGCATCTCTAGGTCTGCGGCCTGGCAGCCCCCCACACACCGAGCTGGACCCCTCCACAGTGCAGGAGTCTGGAGGGACGCTGGCCTCAGGCTCCCAGGTACGCCCCAGAGACCGCCTCCAGCACTGTCACCTCTGTCAGGCTGCAGGTCCCTGCATGGGACTAGCCAGCCTGCGTCCCTGCTTTGAGGGGTCCTAGTTAGAGAGACCACTTCCTGTCTCTTCCCGACAGGCCAAAGCCAGGTGGGAAACGTTTCATAGTTCTGGTGACTTCAGACCATCTGCTTTTGAAACCTCAGCCCCAGGTGGACATCAGTGGAGTGCACAGCCAGTGGGACAACCAGCTTAGGATGTCCCCACCCCGTCCCCCTGGGCCAGACAAACATCATGGTACAGGTCTCCTTAGGGTTTAGAATTCATTCTTGCTCTTTGTATCTTATCCCATCTTGGAAAAAAAAAATGTAGGCTTTGAATGTGAAAATCTAGGTACGTCCACTCTAGTCTTTTAAATTATTTATTTTTCCATATTTATATTTTTAAATAAATACATATATTAAATCCTAAACTTTCTGGCCAAACATTAAATCTTAGAAAGAAACAATCTGCATCCCAGCATTATTTTTAAAAATCTGGTCTTACCACCAATAGCGTCTAATTAACTCTGCTGTGTTCAGAATCCTGCATTCCCAGTTCATACCCGAAGTAAGCATTAACTGGAAAAGGGCTTTTCTAGGGAGAAGTGACTACAGACTTGAGTGGAACATTACGAAATCACAGCCAATTCCAATGGATAGTACATAAAAATGTCTTAGCCAGCCACTTCCAAAATATGGAGGCAATACATACTCCATTTTTTGTTATCTAATGAGAGAAATTGGCCAGGCGCGGTGGCTTAGGCCTATAATCCCAGCACTTAGGGAGGCCAAGGCAAGAGGATTGCCTGAGCACGTGAGTTCAAGACCAGCAACATGGTGAGACCTTGTCTCTACAATTTATAAAAAAATTAGGACAGACCTAGAAAGATGGCGGAGTAAGAGCAAAGGAAAATCCCTTTGGTTCCAGAAAATCTCCTGAAAAAGAGGAAAGCTTATCAAGCTCTCAAAGCCACCCAGGCAAAACGGGCGCTTTTGGCAAGGAAGGAGCAAAGGAAAGGAAAAGGGCTCGAGTTTAAGCGATTGGAATTGTTCCTGTATGATTCCTGGCGGCAGAAACGTTGACAGTGTGCGTCTCAGAAGACGAGAAGTGAAACCTCATGCCTTGGAATTGCCAGGTCAGCATTCCTTGGCCTTTGTCGTATGCCTCCAAAGGATTGATAGAGTGAGTTCACTGGTGCAAAGGACTATGGCAAGACTCCACCTGAAGAAAATTTTCAATGGTGTCTTTGTCAAAGTCACCCCCCTCCCACGAGCCTAAAAATGCTGCGTGTTGTAGAGCCCTATGTGACCTGGGGATTTCCAAATCTGAAGTCTGTTCGGGAACTCATCTTGAAACGTGGACAAGCCAGGGTCAAGAATAAGACCATTCCTCTGACAGACAACACAGTGATTGAGGAGCACCTGGGAAAGTTTGGTGTCATTTGCTTGGAAGACCTCATTCATGAAATTGCCTTCCCGGGAAAGCATTTCCAGATCTCATGGTTCTTGCACCCTTTCCAACTCTCAGGAACCCATCATGCTACCAAAAATAGAGTAGGCTTCATCAAGGAAATGGGCTCACCTGGCTATCGGGGTGAACGCGTCAGTCAGCTAATCCGCCTGCTGAACTAGACCTAGAATATCTGAAATCACAGTGCATTGGAAGCACGTGTTTTTGTTTTTTGGACTTGGTATCAAGTATCTTCAGAGAAGATTATTTGGGACTCTCCCTTCAAAACTGGAAGGAAAGGGTCAGGGAAAAGACAGAAGAGTATGTTAATGGCAGGCACCTCTCATCACAGTTCAGTTCCAAGGAAAAATTCCGATGTTCTCCACGTTGGCTGCCCCCACCTCTGAAATCGATGTATGTCACACAGGAAGGAGTCTCACGTTGTCACATCTTCTGTCCTGAGGCTCAGTACTGGTGAATGAGTAAAGCAAGCATGTGTACAAGACTCCTGCCGCAGTGGACCAAGCCCAGGGGCATGCTTGAATCTGGGGGTTCCTGGGGCCCCGCTTTGAAAAGACTTCAAGTACACTTGGGAACAAGAGCACACACACACCAAAAAAATTAGCTGGGCATGGTAACACATGCCTGTAGTTCAGCTCCTTGGAAGGGTGAGGCGGGGTGGCTGTGAGCATGCCACTGCACTCCAGCCAGGGCAATGGAGTCAGACTCCAACGCCAAAAACAACAACAAAAATTCCATTCAAAAGGGTACAGCCAATCCCATCTAAGTTTTAAATAACTTTTATTTTTTGATATGGGATCTTGCTGTCACCCCCAGGCTGAGGTGCAGTGGCGGGCACAGCTTGCTGCAGCCTTTAACTCATTAGGCTCAAGTGATCCTCTTGCTGCAGCCCCCCTAGTAGCTGGAACTACAGGCTTGTACCACCATGCCTGGCTAACTTTTTATAGAAATGGAGTCTTGCTACGTTGCCTAGCTGGTCTCAAATTCCTGGGCTCAAGCGATCCTTCCATCTTGGCCTCCCAAAATGCTGTTTTGGGTTTACAGGTGTGGGCCACCACACCAAGCCCATCTAATTGCAATAAACTATTCAGATGGTCTGTTTGAATAAGATCTTGTGCCACAAGATTCAAGTCAATTAACAAATCTTTGTTACCAGGATTTTTGCAGTAATGGGACTTGAAATAGGGGCGATTGTATGGATTCTTCCTAGGTATTTTCTCTGACCCAATCATGGGAAGCTTTTAATCTGACCCTAGACTGCATGCATTTGGCTTGACATTAAGAGCTTCAACTCTTTGGGAGGTCATTACACACAGCTAATAAGATCACTTGCTGGACACTCACCATTAGATTGTAGATGAAAGGAATTTCACTTAGTTTAAAATTCAAATAAATGCAAATGAAGTTGGCCAATCGCTATGGAAAGTAAGCTTCATAAAGAATTGTGGCTGGGCATGGTGGCTCACAGCTGTAATCCCAGCACTTTGGGAGGCCAAGGCTAGAGGACTGCCTGAGCCCAGGGGTTCAAGGCCAGCCCAGGCAACTTGGTTCTCACTAAATCAAGAAAAATTAGCTGGGCATGGTGGTGCATGCCTGTAGTTCTAGCTACTTGGAAGGCTGAGGCAGAAGGATCATAGCAGCTCGAGGCAGCAGTAGCCATAAGCATGCCACTGCACTCCAGCCTGGGGAATAGAGATTCCCATTCAAAGAAAAGTCAGTGAGGACCACGCATGAGGGTGGTTTTTAAAATTCAGCTCCCGGTCCCTCAAACACTTGCGCTTGTGTCTTTCACTCAATAAGGTTGTACTGAGTCCTCTCCAGCCAGCAGGTATATTGGCATGAACCACCAGCCAGCAAGAGATGTCTGTCCTAATGGGGGAGACTATTAAAAAGATTCACCCAGCACTGTGGGAGGCTGAGGCAGAAGGACTGCTTGAATTCAGGAGTTTGAGACCAGCCTAGTCAATATGAGATCTCGTCTCTAAAAAAAATCAAATAATTAGGCCGGGCTCGGTGGCTCAGCCTGTAATCCCAGCACTTTGGGAGGCCGAGGTGAGTGGATTGCCTGAGTCCACAGGTTCGAGACCTGCCTGGGCAACTTGACGAGACCTCATCTCTACAATAAATCAAAAATTAGCTGGGTGTGGTAGCACGCGCCTGTAGTTCCAACACTTGGAAGGCTGAGGCGGAAGGATCGCTGGAGCCTAGCAGGTCGAGGCTGCGGTGGCCGGGAGCAGCCATTGCACTCCAGTCTGGGTGACAGAGTGAGTCTCAAACTCAAACTCAAAAAAAAAAAAAATCAAATAATTAGCTGGGCATATATAGTTCTAGTCACTCAGGAGGCCAAGGTGGGAAGATTGTCTGAGCCCGGGAGGGTGGAGGCTACAGTAAGCTGTGATCATGCCACTGTACTCCGGCCTAGGTGACAGTAAGGCTGACAACAACAAAAAGACTTAAAGTGCAGATGTTTGCAAAAGAGAAAAGGCAAGCAGGTGGGGTGTGGTGGGGAGGGCTGGAGTTGGCCATCTGGTTAGAAAGGCGAGACGCCCTGGATCCCAGTGAGAGCCAGGTGGGTGCAGCGAGAAGCGAGAGAACCTGTGTCAGCTCAGCTTCCAAGACACCAGACACTGATGTCTGGTTAGCTGCAGTTTCTAGAATGTTCTCAGGCTGCTCAGCAGGTAAGGAAGCAGGTCTGTAAGTCATAAGTCTTTAGAGGGTCAACTCAAGCTCCAGCCTCTGCTCCCATGAGTTACCCACTGCAAACTGGATGCCCATCTACTGAGCAATTGAGCATCAAAAGTTTCATGCAGCCAGGCACCCCCCCCATAGGGTAACAGGATTTCTAATTGGAAATTCACACAGGCAGAACAGATGCCACTTTCATCTGGCTCCCACCCAGGGGGAGGGACTCTACCCGGGGCAGCAAGCTGACTTCTCCCATCAGGGCACGATCTAGCAGGCTCCTCTGCTGGTGCATTTGTGTTGTAAATTCAAAGCATGAGAGGCTCATGTGCAGGAAGAGCATCCAGGAAGCAATAAAGCCTCAAAGTGTGAGTTCCTTAAAACAGCCCCTCCAACTGGGGCACCCACCACACTGCAGAGGCTTGTTTCCTAACTCTTCAAAAGAGATCAGCGAAGGCTCTTCTCTCCTCGCAAGACAACACAGCCCAAGTTTGTACACGCCACTGACTGCTGCCTACCATGAAGCTGCCCTCTGACCCACAGCAGCATCACCAAACCTCAGGTGGCTGATGCCAGCTCCCAGGCCTGACCTGCCCCCAGAGCCCCTGGGGAATTTCTACAGGTCTATGGATTTGAGAACTGCAGATCGACACGTTAAATGCCTTACCCGTAGCCTACACTCCCAAAGCTATCTGGCCCTTCGTTCTCCTGAAGACACCTGCATCTGCAGACCGGGTCCTACACTCCTTAGTGCTGTCTTCTAAACGGGCCATAGGCTTTCTGCTGTCACCCACCATCATCCTCATGCACACTGCAACAGCTCTGAACTCAGAATGCATCTTACAACAAACAGACGAGAGGCTCTGACATAAGGGTCAAATTGGATGATCCAAAGAGAGAAAGGTCTCTATTTTAGGAAAGTTGCTAGTTAAGACAGGCCTTTAACAAACCCCTTATCAGGGGGAGAAGAAAAACACAGTAAGAAAGATACCCCCATCTTAGTGATGGCAGGTGAGCATACGTGGGGACCATGAAATATTAGCGATAGCAGGTGTATACGTGTGGACCACGACCCACAAAGCAGACTGCGTGCTCTCCTGCCTTGTTTGCCGGAGGTGAGTGCTAAGCCCCGTGCCAGGCACTGCATGACCATCACACAAACATGGCCGCTGAGGTGAGCAGCACAGGCCTCTCAGGAAGCCAGGAGGCTCCACCAGATCCTCACGTGGGCTTGCCACTTTGTGACCACCGACTCAAGGAGCCCACAGGCCTCCACGTGCTGAGAATCCTAAGGGGACACAGCAGCCCGGTTTCATTACAGCAGGCTGTGTTTCCTCTCTCTGCACTTTGCCTGGTCTCTAGGCCGGAGTGTGAAGGGAACTATTTATTCCACTGACTGGCACATTCGATCCTGAAGGAGCGAAGCCGTGGGGGTGCTCAGGCAACATTATTCATCCAGGTTACGAGGCGAGTCCAGGGTCTGCTCTCCCTGTTGACAGCACCAGACATCTTTTTAGACTAAATCCACAAAGTAACACGTGTAGAAACAGATTCCATCCATGGCTTTCGGGTCCAGACAGGTGGCAGGGCCTCTACCGGAAAAGCCGGTATGTCCTGGGCAGGCGCCCGTCCTTACTGGACAGTGCCGCCTGGATGTGCTCGTAGGTGGGCAGGTCAGCCAAATCGCCCAGCGCAGCCACCGCTGGCCTCCCCCGAAGCATTCCAGAAGCGACTCTCTTGACGTCGTCTGGCTTCACGTCGCCTAGCAGAGAGGGCAAAGGGGCATCAGGTAAACACACTGTCTCCACGTGAAGGCTGTGCCAACACAGGGCAGGCCCAAGAAGATGGGGTTGAGGTCCCCTCACTGGACAGGAGACAACAGTGAAGGATGCCACGAGCCCGAGCCACCCCTCTTCAGAGCAGCCTGTGCCAGGATTAAAGCCTGTCCACAGAAGGGTTCGATGCAAACGGAACCTAGTATACAATCTGAGGAAGCTCAAGGACCTCATGATGGTCACTCTATGTACCATCTCATAGTGCCCTGCTGTGCTCTCTAGCCATTACCCCACTGAGTCCCCTTACACCCCCAAGCAGTGGGATAGTCCCTGTCAGGGGTGAAGGCTGGATCACTGGCTGAGGTGCCCAGCTGGCATGTGAGGACTGGGAAGTGACGCCGAATCTGAGCCCCAAGGCCCTGCCCTCCATCCTCCCTACTGAGGCACCATGCGGAATTCCCTGGCTGTGGTGGGCAGCCAGGCCCTGCACCCCAGGGCTGCCTGTAGGAGGGCCCCAACCTAGGCCCTCACCATCACATAGTACTCACGAATGAGTGCGCACAGCTCATGCGGCAGCTTTCTGGAGCGGGTGGCCAGCACCTGCCTTCCCACGTCCTCAAAGATCACAGGCCGGGACTCCAGGTTCATCATGAGCATGGACATCAACTGCGTCTTGGCTCGCTCCAGCTCCACCTGGGCCACAGCAAGTCAGGCGGGGGCCCACACCGCCCACCCTGCCTCCCACCGCCACTCAGCTAGTGGAGAGATCAACAGGAACACATCCCAGCAGGCTGCATCTACCCACAGTTGCACAGGAGGAAGAACCTGTCCCAGGGACCCACCAAGACACAGCATGCCCCGGAGTTCCTCTGGTGGGTTTCTGGGTCAGGGCTGGTATTACACACTACAAGGCCTTTACCACATTAAGAGATAAGGGAGAAATCATTTCCCCTAAGTTATCTTCTGTGTAACAAGAAGCACGGATAGGTCAGCATGCCACCCTCCACAACTCCAGGACCTCAAAGAACCACTCAAAAAAGCAGGAGAAAATGACTAAGATGCAGATCCTGGGCTGTGCCAGACTCCCCACTGCAGGGTACGGGGAGCTGTGTTCAGCAAAGCCCCTGGGATGTCCTGAGGGAAGCAGCCTGCGTCCATGGCCCAGATCCTGGGCCTCTGACCAGGTGTGGAATTTAAACATGACGGCTCCAGCAAGGTCGATTATGAGCTGTGGTCTGAGGTACAGGCGGGGACAGCGTGAGATGTGACATGCCACTGAGTCTAGCAGCTGTCAAACTGAAAAATGCTGAACAACAGGTTGGCTGATATTCTAGAACAATTTTTAAGTAAAATCGATCCTGGCCAGGTGCAGTGGCTCATGCCTGTAATTCCAGCACTTTGGGAGGTTGAGGCAGAAGGACTGCTTGAGCCCAGGAGTTCAAGACCAGCCTGGGCAACATAGCAAGA